ATGTCAATTAAGAACGTCAATTAACCTAACAATGTTGATGCTGAAAGTAATGAAGATCTTATTTACTTTGACAAAGATCTTGTTGATTTGATGAAGTAAAAAATGAAGTCAAAGGCAACTCTGTGGCAGTCAAATGTCACTTAAGATAAAAGAGAAGAGGATTAGTATGTCTGCAGCTCTGCTTAGGTATAACCATTTTATCTTTATGCTGCATGAGGTTTCTTCACTTAAAAAGATTCTGCAATTGCCTCTAAAAAATGTTTTAACCGTTAAAAACAAACATTTTGACAAAAGAATTTTTAATCAACTATTTTAACTGATAGTATATGTGGATTATCAACTAAAATGTTCTTCACACTTCTATAACAGGTTTTCAACTGATATAACTTCAAAATAACCGATTGTTTTCATTAAAAGAAGTATTGAAAACTTTTTGTCAGTATTTTAACTAATACAATTTCGAAATAACCGATTGAAATCACTTAAAAAGATCAGGGAAGTGTTTTTTCAGTATTTTAGTCGATATAACTTCGAAATAATCGATTAAAACCACTTGGTATATCAAATGACCGATCAGAATGACTTTATGACCGATCAGAACCAGATATGATCGATCAGAACCAGATATGACCGATCAGAATGACTTTATGACCGATCAGAACCAGATATGATCGATCAGATTTGAGTTATGACCGATCAGAATTATTTTAATCGATTAAAACATGTTTCAATCGATTAAAAAAACTTGGAAAATTTGTACTAAACGTTTCAATCAATTAAAACGTATTTTTATCAGTTAAAATCACTTGAAAAAGTTTATAAAAATGTTTTGCAGTATTTTAATCGATTGAAAGTCGAAACAATCGATTAAAACAGATTAGAAGATTTTTTTAAAAGAGTTTTAATTGATATAAACGTTGTCGTATCAGTTAAAACAAATCTGGAAAATAATCAAGAATGTTTTAATGGATTAAAAGAAGTTTTAACAGATTAAAACAAGTCTTTTAAACATATTAAAAGATTATTTTAACAGATTAATTAAACCAGAAGTTTTGAAAAATCTTCTATATAAACAGATTGCTTGAACTTTTTTAAACATCATCTTTTACACAACTTTTAGCAATCAATCAGGCAATCAAAAGTGCTACTTTCAAGAAAGAATCACACATGTTTTTGTGAAGTTCATCAAAGTTCTTTCTTGAGGCAAAATTGCATTTCTTTGGAGAAGAAACACATATTGCAGAATTGCATAAAACTAGTTTGAGCATTCTTAGTTTCTTCTATTTGTTTCTTTACTTTCTTTTACTGTATTGTGGGTGCCTGGAATTGTGGGCACTGGTTTTCTGTAGCTGGAATTTGGCTGCAGGGTAGTTCAAGAACTGGAATTTGGTTCTTGGTGAAAGGTTAAGTGCAGGAACTAGAATTGTGGTTCTTGTGTTAGATTGAGTGTAAGGTTAAGGTTGTAATTTGTAAAACATTCAATCTAGTGGAACTCAACTAGAATTTGGCTAGAGACTGGACGTAGCCCTGGGATTGGGTGAACCAGTATAAACCCTGGTGATATCTTTCTAAACCTTTCTCTTCTTTAATTTTGTGACTACATTTATTTTTGATTGCTTGCTGTGTATGATTCAAGAATTGATCATATTTCTTAATCTTTAAAATTGATAATCTGTTAATTGCGAAAATCTTTCAAAGATTAATTCACCCCCTCTCTTGATCTCAACCTACATTTCTAACAGATGCCACCTACTCAAATCATCCATGTTGATTCTTCACACATGAAATTCATAAGAAAACCTAATAAATGTTGATTCCTCACACAATTAAGAGATTTTCCAGCATTAGGTTCCCTGATGAACCGACGTTGAATGTGTCTTCACCAAAAATTCTTTTAAGTTAGAGAATTGTCACTGACAGAGTTCGAACCTAGTACTTTAGAGTTGAAAGTTGTTACTCCAACCACTAAACTACTGTAATTTTCCGATAATAACTTACAAATTAATTATATTTATATACAAATAAATATATATTCTGTGTAAATATATATTTATTTATATTTTCTGGAAAGTGATTTTATTTTTTTTCAGCCAAAAATTCACTTAAGTTAGAGAATCGATCACTGACGTGATTCGAACCCAGTATTTTAGAATTGAAAGCTAATACTCCAACCACTAAACTATTATAATTTTTTGATAATAACTTACAAATAAATTATATTTATATACAAATAAATATCCGTGTAAATATATATTTATTTATATATATTTTCTCGGAAAGTGTTTTTATTTTTTTCAGTAAAAAATTCACTTAAGTTAGAGAATTGTCACCGATAGGATTCGAATATAGTATTTTATAGAGTTGAAAATTGATACTCCAACCACTAAACTACTATAATTTTTTGATAATAATTTACAAATAAATTATATTTATATACAAATAAATATATATCCGTGTAAATATATAAATATAGAATATATAAATACAAATATATTTATATATTTTGATATATTTATATATGTCGGATGTGAGGGCGCGATCGAGGGTGAAAGTGAGATTGACTTTCGCTTAAGTGAAAATACGTTAAAGCTCACGGAAATTCACTCGTTCAAGCCTAGCTTGAGCGAAAATTGGTATTTTTCGCTTGAGCGAATGTGTCACTTGAGCGAATGATGCGTTTTCCAAATTTATTTTATATCATTATATAAATAAATTATAAATATTATATTCTGTCATTAAATTACAAACTCATATAAAGAGACTCGCTCACAAATTTGGCATGAAATTTTGAAAACCCACTCGACACACACTTTCACCTTCGAGCGTGCCCTCACATCCAATATATAAATATATAATTATTTAAATATATCAAAATATATAAATATATTTGTATTTATATATTTACACGGATATATATTTATTTGTATATAAATATAATTTATTTATAAGTTACTATCAAAAAATTCGAGTAGTTTAGTGGTTGGAGTATCGACCTCCAACACTAAGGTACTGGGTTTGAATCCTGTCGATGACAAAAAAATAATTTGGTAATGCTTTAAACTTTAAAAAAATATGATAAATAATAAAAATATAATATAAAAGAGAGAGGGACCTAATAAAAATATAATATAAAAGAGATGGGGGATTTCTAGATAAATAGAGGGGTTGGAAATAAATAAAAAAATTTGATTTGAAAAATAAGACTTTCAACGTCGGTTCTATTTAACCGACGTTGAAAGTCTGATAACTTTCCACGTCGGTTAAATAGAACCGACGTTGAAAGTCTTAACTTTCAACGTCGCCTGATACAACGTCGGTTCTGGAACCGACGTTGAAGGCCTTATTTGTAGTAGTGATAACAACATCAAAATATAGATTAATATCTCAAAATATCATCATGATACAAAAGAGTTCAAAGAAAATGCACCAAATCCCATAAGAATGAAGTTAACCACTCATGTTGGCCATTACAATGCTCCAAATGAGGAAGAAGTGAAGAATTGATGAAGATTGGACAAAACTCTAACAGTAGTCGCGCCTCTTATTCCCAAAACTGTTTGTTTTTCTCAAAAAACATCTTATCTTTTTATAGGAAAAATTGGGTCTCGCATATTTCGCTCAAGTGACAACTTTTGCTCAAGCAACAAAACGCTCGTTTGAACGAGTGAACTCCAGAGAAGAATAACTAACATTTTCTCAAGTGAATTTTCTTGCGCTTGAGCGACTGACTTCCAGAGAAGAATAACTGATATTCGCTCAAGCGAGAGTCCATCTCGCTCGAGTGACTTCAAGGCTGAAAATCTTCTTCCTTTTTCCAGTTTTACTCCAATTATGCTGACAACTATACTCCTTACTCTTGTATCAAGATATTTTCGAATTCATCCTATATTGGGAGAAAAATATATTAGAATTAACATAAATTAAGTGGTTTCATAACAATTCAAGGTATAATTATATCAATTTTTTATCACTTACCAAACTAGTAAATTAGAAGGTATTTTCTTTAAGGACCCTGAATTCTTTGACACCACTATTCATCCATACATTTAATCTACAATCTCGTAATAATAATAATAATATAATAATAATAATTATAATAATAATAATAATAATAAATATATAAGTTTAAAAGATTTTATTAATATTATATTATTAAAATGAGTTGAAGAATAGTGTTTGGAGAGAAGGTGGTCAACATATCATTTTTCTTTCTTTAATGAGTCTTTTCTATTTCTAGCTCAAAATTTCTTTCCTTTTCTTTTTTTCTCATTTATGATTTGACGTTTTTTTTATGCTATTTGTCAATATGAAATTAATGGTTGAAATTTATTTGTTGTAGTTATGATCATACAACATGGGTATGTAATGTTTGTTGTTAAAATTAGGTTCTGGAAATAGGTAGAATACTAAGCCTAAACCATTTAAAAGGCCTAAAATGTTTTATTTTTGCATCAAAATGTTCTTTTCTTTGCTTCTGAAATTCACATTACAGCCACAATGATTAGAATTGGTTTATATCAATATAAATGAAGAAATGTTCTACATGAACTGAAATTTAACTAGTGTAGAAAAAAAAATGGAAAGAAAAAGTTTCAATAGTAACATGATAATAAAATCCCTCAATCCCACTCTTGGAATCCTCTCACATAATTTTCCATCCCTAAAAGCATGATATACATAAATTTATATTTATTGAGCATAATCACTTAAAAAATGGTAAAAATAAAAGAAAAAAATAGTATAAAAAGAGAGGAATCCAAATGTTATGAATCATATAATTTGTCATGTATCTCTTTCTATTTATAGAATCATCTATGGAAAAATACATGACATGTCACTTATGATAATTATGCCAAACTACTATATATATATATATATATATATATATATATATATATATATATATATTTTTTTTTTTTTTTTTTTTTTTTTTTTTTTGACAAGTGAGAAATATATATAGATGCAGTAAATAATATGTATACAGTGTTGCTCTGAATCTCATGGCTCCGGAGGAAGGTAGTTATGATAGATTTTCCACCATCACTATACCCCTTCTGAGGGATCGAGAGGTGCACCAAGACAAAACTTTTGACCAGAATGTGGGTGGCACCTCCTTCTTCAAGACCTGTTTTCATTTGGTTAACGCCATCTCAGGTTCTATTCTTCTCTCACAATTCTTGTACATATCATCATCACGTAGATGTGTCTGCGTTTCGATTTTCTTTTCTTTTCTTTTCTTTTCTATCTTTATCTCAGATAGGGGTTTTTGTTCAACTTTAAGGCTTAGGAGATTTGGATCTGTTTCTCCAGGTTTAGAGATCTTGTTGCCACACAAAATGCAAGTTTTCAAACTTGGGTAAACTTTTCTTTTTTGTCTTTGAAATTGTGACGATCTCTTATTATATAAACTTTCACTGCAGTCCTTAGTTTTATACGAATATATTTTTATATTATTCAGTAAAATAACATTCACTTTAATTTTCCTAGGGAATTAGACAATAAAAGATTCAAAAATGACATTCTGTAAAAATAGGAATTAATGTGAAAGTTTTGTATAGTGATAAACTAGGATTCGTGTCATGCAATTCCATTTTTCTTAACCTTTTCTTCTTATAAAGAGAACTTAGGTCAAACACGTTTAAAATATATAAATAAATAAATAAACTTGCTTCATTTTTTACAATTAATGGTGGTACTAAAAAAAAAGGTTATATATAAGTATCTTTCTAATTTCCTAACTTTTTTTTCATAAAAAAGTTGTTTATATGCTTGGTGTTTTGCACTCTCTCTTAAACTTTTCATCTTAATAGAGCTCTCATAAATTGATTTTTCCTCATATTTATATTAATGTTAAAGGTAGATTTATTCAATAAATATAATCCGTTAGTACTTAAAAAGAATTAGATATGTTCTTCGAAAACATTTATTTTTTAAGGTAGATTTTTCTAGCGATGGATTTATGGTTGTTTATTTAATTAACAATGGAATATTTATAATAACGTCTTTAGAAATAAAGATATATCTCAAATTATAATTCATTTGAGAGAGATATTAATTGTACAAAGAAAAATTGTGCTAATATATTCGTTCAAAATTAAACATAAACATATCAAAGTAAGAAAGTGAAAAAGGAAAAAAAATTAACACCCAATTTTTTAAAACATCCATAAATAATCTTAAAATTTTATATTTTTAGTTGATAATAAAGAGAAAATGAAATAAAATAAATAAATAATAATATAATAACCTAAAATTAAATTATTTCACCGATGTTTGTGGATTGTTAATATATATAAAACACTCTTTAGAATTTATGTGAGTGTTTACTACCCTTTAAAAAAATTAAATCTTCATTTTTTTTATAACAATCTTCATAATTAATAGTTTCGATACTTTATTTCCATCACTGATGTTCTGATTTTCATTTTTTTTTAAATGTCATCTGAATGTCTTTATCAAGAATATTATTTCAAAAATTGAAATATGGAAGTATACAATTACTTGTGTAATAAATGAAACAAACCCTAAAAATACTAAAACCATTTTATTTTTAAACTAGAAATGATGCCATTTACCCTTCCATGATGACTCCATTATAAGTAAAATACTGGTATTCGTTATGAGTAAATATACATTAAACATACTTCTTTTAATTTATTATAGATTTCACTCAGGAATGTAGTAGAGATTTAAGTTCACAAACAGTCACCTTGTTCTGACTACCCTATGAGAAGGAAAGACTTGTCCCACAACAATTCCACATGGTGATCATAACTATGGAAAGACAATAGTTAAGATAACAAATTTTATATCGGGGAGAAGTTCCAAGAGATCCATTGCATCACGAATGAAGCTTCAATCTAGGATTTTATTGAGCTTCAACATACATTCGTCCATGGATATATAGATATGGACGAAGTAAGAAAACCAAATTTTACAAAGTAAAAGCAAGAGAGATTTATCAATATAGCTATTGTTAGTTATTAACTAGTAAAAACTTTCATTACAGGAGTTGGTACAATATCCGCGCCTTATGCACTGGCATCTGGGGGATGGTTAAGCATATCGCTGCTCTTTCTGATTGCCATTGCTTGCTATTACACTGGCATATTGATCAAAAGATGCATGGACATGGACCCTGACATCAAGACTTTTCCTGACATAGGTCAACGTGCATTTGGAGACAAAGGGAGGCTATTGGTATCAATTGCCATGAATGCTGAGCTCTACCTAGTTGTTACAGGTTTTCTGATTTTAGAGGGTGACAATCTTAACCAACTAGTACCAAACATGCAAATTGACCTTGCAGGGTTAACAATTGGTGGTACCACAATTTTCACCATAATTTCTGCCCTTATTGTTTTGCCTACTGTTTTGTCAGAAGACATGAGCTTGTTATCTTATGTATCTGCTGGTGGGGTTTTGGCTACTTCTATTTTTCTCCTCTCTCTGTTATGGAATGGCACTTTTGATGGCACAGAATTTCATGCAAGTGGAACACTTTTCAAATTGAGGGGAATACCTTCCTCTCTAAGTTTATATGCCTTTTGTTTTAGTGCTCATCCAATCATTCCCAGTCTATACGTCTCTACGAGAAACAGAAGTCAGTTCTCTAAAGTAAGTGCAATGCAATTTTAGTAGTTTATAGTGAAAACATAGATTAAAATCCAAGTTATTCTCCCTTTTGTTGATTTGAATTACTCTATTTTTGCAGGTCCTGTTTGTATGTTTTTTAGCATGCACTCTTGTTTATGCAGCAGTGGCTGCTCTGGGCTTCTTAATGTTTGGAGAAGATGTGAAATCGCAAGTTACTTTGAATCTCCCAAGGGGCAAGTTCAGTTCACATGTAGCAATATACACTACCTTGGTTAATCCTTTAGCCAAATATGCATTGATGCTTTCTCCAATCATAAAAGCAGTAAAAAACAAGGTTTCATGCCATAACCAAAAAAGGTTCACACATATGCTTGTTAGTACCTCTTTGCTGATAAGTACCATGATTATAGCTGTGACCATTCCCTTATTTGGATCCCTTATGTCACTTACTGGGGCATTACTAAGTGTGTCAGCTTCAATTTTAGTACCATCAATGTGCTACTTGAAGATTTCAGGAGCTTACAAGAGATTCGGGTGTGAAATGATCACTAACTACTCAATAATCGTAATGGGGTTTCTTATTGTTGTTGTAGGCACTTACACATCTGTTATGGATATAGTTCATAATATTTAATGTCATGGGGACAACATTGATTTTCACTTGTAGTTCTGTTACCTGAAAGAACCGACATCATGTTTTTGGCCCAGTTTGATGCAAAGGAAGAGCGTATTTATCAAAAAGTGAAAATGAAACTTTGGTTCGTATGGACTATATATATACCCAGTGGTATCCGTGTAATTTTTTGTTTTGGGTTATTAACGTCCAAAACCAAACTTAGATACCAAGGAGACAAAGTTTCGTGTTCCTGATCGATAGACGAGGGGTAGTTTTTAGAAATTAATTATAATATATGATAAGGATGTTCTTATTCTAAAAACTTATTTTTCATTCTCGTAATTTAATTTCTTGTTTTGATTTGATCTTTATCAATGGAATAGGTGCGAAATTAACTTTTCTCAATACCAATGTTGACAAAACAATTTACATGGCGATACTAGAAGAATTCGAGATGAGAAATAAAGAAAAATTTACAAATGGAATAAATTTATAGGTAGAATCAAGCAGGCTTTTTATCAGCTCCATAAGTTTCATCAAGTGAGTATGTCATTTGTTTTTAGATATATATAATTGTTCATAATTGCATATATAAAAAGTTTAGTAAAAGTAAATTCATATTTGTAGTTTTATACGGGGTGATGTGCTTCGCTAATGATATAACCACATTGAGTGAAATCAAGAGATTTAATATGTAAAATTTTTATGTTTTCTATACAAAATTTTCTCTATTGAAATAATCTTATAAAATAAATTTATTTGGGTTATGTTACAAGAAAATATAAACTATTGAAGCTATAATATATATAATCTCAATCACTATTTCAACCATTTCAATATCTGTTTCAGCACTATTGAACTATTTTGTAGCAGAGCTATAGTAACACCTCATCTGGTGTGATGTATATAATGTGTAGATAATATATCTCTTATTTCCATTATTATGATGAGCTAAACACAGAAATAAGAGACGTAATCTTAATGACCACTGCATGAATGTTTTTAAGGTTGTAAAGTTAGTCATGAAAAAAGAGATAGCAAATAACGACCACAACTTGAGAGATAGCAATAAAAGTAATGAAAATATTATTTTAAAAGATTAATCAATTTATTAAAATAAAAATTTAATTATTAAGATAGAAAATAACAACCACGACTTGTTTATTAATCAATTGTAATGTTATAATGAAATTCGTATTTAAATCTCAACATTAATTTTGTTTAATATTCTTTTGTTATAAGTAGACAATTCTTTGTGATTAGATGATTAAAATATATTAGGCCATTCAGTCTTCATTACTTGGCAAGACTTAATAAATTAAGATTTCAATTTTGTATTAATAAATTTTGATCCTAATCTTAAAGCATATTTAAAATTGTGTTAATTTTAAGGTTTCTCAAGCCTAGATAAGTGTTCTCATTGGAAATAAATCTAAACTAAACTATTGAGATTACAACTTGGTGTGATGGAAATGTATATAATATAGAAGAAGTTGAATTGGGTATGGAGTGGAGATAACTCTGCGTGAGCGAGAGGCATTCAGAACAGGTTGCATGCAGTTTTCTGTTAAAACAAGGAGGTTGTATTGTCCTTTTGCTGATTAAGGATACAAACTTAGGGTAACTTAGGTCATCAACAAGTATACCCTAATTAATTAATTAATTAAACCATGCTTCACCTACAATTTTTCATCATGTTATTGAACTTTGTAGCTCTCATCTGGAGACATTTTAAAGTGCCCATGTTAATTATACCACTCATGGATTTATTAGTGTGAAATTGTTCTAGTTTGAGTTTGAGTCTTAGTTATCCACAACTACATTAAGCATTTGGTTGGAAAGTTTTACTGGTTATAATAGTTTTATTATAGAACATTAGTTTTTTTTTTCCATTATTACAAAAAAAAAAAAAGTTACTTACGTTAAAATTTATTCTCTCTCAAGTAATTATGTGATATAAGTAAATGCTATCAATTATTACAAAAGGAGTTGGTGAAATTAAAAAGCATTAACTAATCTTTATATATGGCTATAAAAAATTGGCATCACCACTTTAATATAGGTTTAGTGTTTGATTACTCAAAGTTAATGCAGAGGGTGGAACATCAGTTTCTTGGTAATTTTGAGGTCATTGTGAAGCTGGCTTTTTGGCATTGAAGAAAGATGTATTGTGTTAATCGATAGGTGTCATGTTCATAGTTATTGCATATGGCATCACATATAGTTTACACAAAAATGTTCTGAAAACTTGGAATGAAAAATAAATCATATTTTATACTTATATATAAGATCTGAAGTACTATCTCAAATAAATGCTCAACTAATTTCTTCTTTTTGCCTACCACAATATCTTGTTATAGTTAGACAAAAATTTGAGGAAAGAAGCCATTAATAATGGATGATGGTATCCGTTTTGTGGTGTCACATTGAGAGAAGATTGGATTTCGCTCTCCTTATTCTTATTGTTTCTCCTTGGTGGAATCATGCACCCAACCCCAACATATATGTTCTTACTTCTTTTTCACTCCATCACTTTGATTTGCCCTAATTCTCCATGTTCCACTCGTGGATGATAGAGACAACATTTCGTTAGGCCAGAAATTAACCACCTACCAACTCCTTTTTCATTTTCTAAAAAAATAACCCTCAACTTTAATCCATATATTTAAGAATGTTTTTTTTTTTTTTAAATATCATATGTTGACATTATATCATATATACACTAACATATATTGTTTTAGTGAGTCACTTGATCTTCTATGAAATACCTAATTTTTTAATAAATATCACATCATAGATGATGGGACAAAAACAAAATTTTTAATTTTTTTAAAATGAAAACCAATTTATTGTATAAAAACTAAAATCAAAACTCATTAATTTAATATAAACTAAAACTTTATTTAAGTTATGCATAATTAATTAATATTTATGGTAATGTTGGTTACCGTATAAGTGCAACATTGTGTGAATTATACAGCAAAATTCTAAAACTTTACAAAGTTGAAAGGTTATGTCTCTAGGAGGGTTTTAGGTAGATGAAGAAAACATATAGAGGAAGGTTCTTTTGATACTCCAATGGGGGTGTGGACCTCCTCAAATATCTCTCACTCACACTTGAAAAATTAGATCCCAAGTTAGCCATCACCCTAAAAGTTAGGTTTAACATCGGTGTGTATATGCTTGTATACAAATTCTCAAAATCATGAATTGGCCCATGTATGAGTGACGTATAAGCAGTCAATATTAGTATGCCAAAACACAACTACGTAGAAATTTTCGTATATGTACATTGTCTCCTGAATAATATAATATCTTTAACCATAATTATAAGAAAAAGTAAGACTTGGTGTAAGGGAACAAGGCAAAGAAAAACAAAAGAACGCGTTAGCTGAAAATTTGATTAAAAGTCAAATGCTATAATATATACATTTTGTTATCTTTAACTTATTAATAATCATCGGTAGCTTTTAAAACCTCAAACAAACAATTGATAATTCAAACATGATATACTTTTAGAGGCTTGAATCCGTAATTCAAACATGAGTAGTTAGCGATGGAGGTGGGGTTTAGTAAAATAGAGTGATTAGTTAGTCTCTTGCAAAAATTATTATAGGCACAGGGAAAAAATGATTTTTTTTTAGTTGGGAATGATAGCTAAGAAATAAAAAATTGATTTTAATTATAATCTCAAATAATCTATACATATATAAATGAAATAAAAACTACACGACTATTTTATTATAATTAAAAATTACTATTATATTTTTTATTCCTACAAAATAATCTTAAAAATAGATAAAAAAAACTTATTACATTAGAAACTTAAAATATCAATCAATTTGTTTTTAAAATAATTAATGCATCAAAGGAACACATTAATTATGCGAACAATGCATATATTAAAAAAAAATTAATAATACAGGAGCAACCACGTGAGTTTTTATAGTAGGTGATGACAAAGTTTCAGAATACTTGTATAAATAGAATACATGCGTTTACGACTTCTCCAACTCAATGCATCAAACGGTGAACAAATCCACCGTGCCGTCACACACTACTTGCTCACCGCAAAAACCAAACGCTGATTCATTAAATAGAAGAACCCGTTTTATCGGACTCTGTCTGTTTTCTCTCAAACACTCCCTCTTCCCTCCATTCCATTTTCATCATTTCCTTAACATCGGTGACGGTGAGTTTCATCAATCTCTCTCTCTCTCTCTCTCTCTCTCTATATATATATATATATATATATATATATATATATATATAAGTTTTGTTTTCAGAAGAACAAACATATATTAATTGATTGTTTCAGAAGTTGTCATATGATGGAAGAACGGTGGAGGTTCATCACTCGGTGGAAGCTATTACGCGTGCTTTTGTCAGTGGTGTCTCTGTTATCCTCGTTCACCATGGAACCTGTTTGGTGTTCCACTCTCAACTCCGAAGGTGACTCTCATCTGAATACACTAACACCCTATAATCATTGCTAATGTTGTTTCTTAAGGTTGTTGCACGTGTTTTGTAAGGTTGTTATTGTTTCATAGATTCATGAGATGGGTTTGGATGATGATAAAAAATAGACGCAGTTTATTATACATTTTTTAGGTTATTACATACTTTTGATCTTTAAATCTTTTATTTTTAATTTGTCAGTCTCTTTTTAAAGTTTAGCTGGAGAGATCAATTATATGGTCTAATAATGTATAAGCTCTTCATATTTTCAACCAACTTCTGTACAGTATATATTAACAATTTTATTTAACTGACAAATTAGTCAATAACAGTTGGTTTATGTATAAATGAAGATTATATGGTCATAATAACTACCTAATAATAATTTCTCTTTTTTGAAGATTTTTTTTTCTGTTTTTCTTTATATTAACAATATCAATTTTAGATGATGGATATATGACTAACATTTAACAGAAATGTTTTAATGGATAAAAAAATGAACCTTTTTTAAACTTAGAAGATTAAATTAAAATGAGAAATCAAAATTGTAGTTAACTTTAAGTAGCTTTTGTTATTATTTTTTTTTTAATTCACATAATTAAGATTAGGATTAAATATAGGTATAAATTAAGAAAAAAGAAAAGTTTGTGCAGAAGTTTAGGATTATAATAATTGTTTTAAAATTTACACTTGGTTTTATATTAACATGATCTTGCATATAGGAATAAATTAAGAAAAAGGAGTTTTAGTTATTCTACTTTTGAAGAAGCTAAGGAAAAATAAATCGATAGAGTGAAGATGTCTATGTGCAGGGTTGGGTCTGCAAAAGATGAGAGAGAAAGTGGTGAGAGATCCATTGGGTGGTTTACGGAGTTGGAATAGCAGAGGAGTGGTTGATCACTGTTCCTGGTTCGGAGTGGAGTGCTCCCATGGCCATGTTGTATCCTTGTATGCACAACCTTTCACCTTTTCTCTTCATATCAATATACTTTTTTTCAGTTGACTTCATTTTTGTTCTCTAATTTAAAGGTAGAAATACAAAGGTGAGAAGTGGAATATAAAAAAGATTTAAACAACATATTTTATCCCACCTTTCTCAATTCTAATAAAAGAAATATTCTTTTACAATTCGTCGCGTAGACCAAAAAATAAATAATTTTTATAATTTCTGATATTATATTAAACATTGAATTTTTGTATAACTTAATTACAAAACTTATATAGAATCTAATGTATATTTAATCCAGGTTTAAATTCCTTTATAAAACTGTAGTGTAACAAGAATTCTTAAAAATAAAATATATTATTTTGATATAGTTTCATAAAATTAATTAATAGGTTAAAATTATTTATATACATAATTCTAACATGTTTTAAACAATAGTAATAATGATAGGATTCATATTAAAATAATATATTTTATTTTTAATAAATATAATATTTATAAGTATTTTTGGGAGTTAGAATGAACTACGCTAAAATCTTGTCGGTCAAGTAATGTCCCATTTGATAATTATCGTTGTTAATTAATTGCAAAAATTGTTCAATGATTATTCAATACACGAACCTGTACATGAATTAAGAATTATTCATCTGGCAGGAACCTGAAAGATCTCTGTCTCCACGGAACACTAGCACCTGAAATTGGGAAGCTAGTTCACATAAAATCAATGTATGAACATGTACCTGCTAAAATTTATCATATTAAAACCAAATATTAGGAATATTTCGACAATTCTTGTAATCATTGTGCAGTATTTTGCGCAACAATTCTTTCCATGGAGAAATCCCTAAGGAAATACTACAATTAGAGGAGCTAGAAGTTCTTGACTTAGGATATAACAACTTTAGTGGACCATTTCCATCTGAAGAACTTGGCAGCAATCCATCCCTCACTACCCTGTAAGTTGAAGCTTTCATGCAAAAGATATATTTATGCGTGTCTTTTCTGAACTTTTGTCGATAAATTATTAAATTTTTACTGCAGTTTATTGGACAACAATGGCCATCTTTCCTACTTAACTCCGGAGGTGTATAAGCTCAAGACATTTTCTGAAATGCATGTAGATGAAGAACAACTATCTGGTCCTACTACTAGAGAAGCATATGTTACCAAATCAAATATCAGGTAAGCTAGCAATCATGACATGAGCAATCAGAAAAAAGTTGCAGATTTTGCGTCAACAAGACTAAACCTATGTCAGTGGCTGAATTAAACTTTGCTTTTGCTTTACATAGCTTCTATACAAAGCATAGATTTTGTATGGGATTGTTTTCTTTTCTTGTAAGTTCAATATAATGATGCTAACTGGGGGTACTTGATATGCATCAGATAATGTTTAAAATTGTCTGCTTGTAATAGGCACATTGGCCAACATGGGGATCCAACACACAGAAGGGAACTTCTCCAAGCAGCAAATGGTGCTGAGAGGGGTGATGATGACAAAGAAACTCTTTCACCATCACCTTTTCCCTCTTCACTATCACCACTTTCAGAGCCTTTTTCACCATCACCATCAGAGAGTCCTTCAGATTCACCAACATCTCCAGAGCTTTCCCCCTCACCATCTCCATCTCTCTCTGGTTTCTTTTTCTCTCTTTCACCCTCGCCTTCACCTATGGTAGCACCAACTCCAGACACATCACCTCCAGAAAATCCACCTTTGGTTGTATCCACACCACCACAGTCCAATTGGGTTTCAATGCCTTCTCCTGCTTCATCTGCAAACAGTTCAAACCCAAACCAACACACTGTGATTATGTGGTCCACAGTTGGGGGCTTGTCCTTGATTTTGGTGTCAGCTATTGTTTTTCTTTGCTTCAGAAGTAACAAGGTTGTCACTGTAAAACCTTGGGCCACAGGGTTGAGTGGCCAACTACAGAAGGCATTTTTATCAGGTATCGGTGCTCATAATTACTTTACTTACATCATTGACTACCTCAACTAAAGATTTCAAACTAAAAAATGCATGTTAACTACAAAAAAATATAGTTTATGTTCTAGTCTTTCCATCCTCTACAAATACTTGTTTTATTTGATTTGGGCATACTCATTGAGCATCTATTTATTCAGGTGTTCCAAGTCTGAAACGAACAGAACTTGAAGTAGCTTGTGAGTATTTCAGCAACATTATTGGTTCACTGCCTGATGGGACTGTTTATAAGGGGACTCTTTCCAGCGGAGTTGAGATAGCTGTAGTATCCTCTGCAGTGACTTCATCCCAAAACTGGTCCAAAAATATGGAAAGTCAATTCCGAAAGAAGGTATGCAAGAAGCAAAGGTGTAAAATGTGCCACATTTGCCTGGTTTTTAGTTCTGAACCTTTAACTTTTCATGATTTCAGATAGCTATGCTGTCAAGAGTAAACCACAAAAATTTTGTGAATCTTATTGGATATTGTGAAGAGAACAAGCCATTCACAAGGATGATGGTTTTTGAGTATGCTCCAAATGGAACTCTATTTGAGCATCTACACGGTTAGTGTTGTTTTGTTCAAAATTTACTTGCATGGTTATATTAACGAGCATGTGCTTTAAGAATGATTGCAACCTAACATGCAGCTTTTATGTTGTATCCTTTCTCATACTACTTTATACTGTATAAGAAGTTATAAGCAGGGCTTTGATCATCAATTTCTTATTGGTCATCTCTCTGACACATTGAAAGTTGTTTGTGTTTATGTACTAGCGATTAGAGTTTCATGTTGATAGAATTCAATGTATGTCTTGCAGTTAAAGAGGCAGAACGACTAGACTGGGGAATGAGAAAGAGGATAGCTATGGGAATAGCCTACTGTCTGGAGCACATACATCAGCTGACACCACCCATTGCCTATAAAAACATACAATCTTCCTCGATATATCTGACGGAAGATTATGCTGCTAAACTATCAGACCTTAGTTTCTGGACTGACATAGTCTCTACGAAGAAGGGTTTTGAGTCCACACAGCTCTTAGAAACAGCTTCAGAATATATCAAGGCCAATGTTTACAGCTTTGGAGTACTGTTGTTTGAATTGATTACAGGAAGAATTCCCTTTGCAGTGGAGAATGGCTTATTTGATGATTGGGCAGCAGAATATATAAAGGGACAACCTTTGAGAGATGTGGTGGATTCAAACCTGAGCTCTTTGCAAGCAAATGAAATCGAGAAATGGGAAGAAGTGATTAACATCTGTGTGGATCCAGATCCAGAAAAAAGGCCAACTATGAAGGAGGTTACTTCTAAGTTGAAGGAAATCACCTCCATAGGACATGATGGAGCAACTCCAAAAGCATCTCCTCTTTGGTGGGCAGAAATAGAAATTATGTCCACTGACTTAAGTTCAGACGTCAATCCATAACTCCAATTGCAAAATATGTCTTATGGGATAATAATCTGAGTAACAACTCTGAATTTGGAGTTTGATGCCATTTTTTAATTTTTATTTTCGTGGATATGTTTTTAGAGATTCTTCTTCTTTTGAAGCTAACTGAAGTAGGGTGGACAGAGGAAACAACTTTTGTCCTAGTAGAGCAATTTAATTTTGTAAATAGTTAAGGAATGAATTTGTTTTTATGCTTGTATAAATGAATTTTGCTTTTCTTTGGCGTGAAAAAAGCCAGGTGCAAGAGAAATGATTGCTATGTGAGTTTGTAATAAGAAAGACACAAGTCCCACTTTTTTGTCATAGACAAATTCAAGACTTCAAGGAGTTGCTTTTCTCTGAAATATTATCCACGGAAAATATTATCAGTATGCCACCTAAGATAAGATATAGATAGGAGATTGAGACAGAAGCATAAGAAAAGGAATATTGTCTCATCTTTTCCACTGGGTATTCTTAGTGTACCTAATGTATACTATGGACCATGAACATAAAGATTTCAATGGAATCTTTAGTGTACACCCTCCCATTTGGTCTGTCACGTTCTTTCAAACATGTGAATTTCTAGTTGCAAAGTCTACCACTTTCAAAGAAGGAAAAGTGATTATTTGTTCTTTCTTCCTTATTTGTAAAAAGAGACAGCACAAGTGGTATAAACCAATTATCAATTATGTGTGTGATTATTCTGTATTTTTTTTTTCTCATAAATCTGATTATAAAAAATTTGCATAATTTCCAAAACATGTACAACACGATTTTTAAATAGTGAGACAAATTCTATAAATATGGCTCACAGATATACATATCAAATCAATGGATTTACTACTCTGAAATTCTTGTGATTTTCATCTGAATCATCCTTGCTAACTTATGTCTTTTTGTCCATCTTTTCTTCATCCATCCAAAATGTATTGCGTCTTGATTTTGTTTCCTCAATCCATATCCTCCATCCCTTTGTATCCTTGTTCTTAGATGATTGTATTCTGATGTAAAATATCAGTCATTTGGGATTCTCCATTCCCCATCAATTGTCTAATCAAGACCTCCACATTTTATCCTTCTGATGCGCATATACTTAGATTAGAAGTTCAACTTCCGCATCCTTCGATATAGATCAAGTGTGCCTGCATGATTTGGGTCTAAGCAAAGAGCAGCCTGACAATCTTGTAGAGAAGATGATAGGTCCCCCATTGACTCATAAAATGCAGCTCGTAGGTGAAGCATTTGCATATCAGGCTTGAATTTTATGGCCTTGGTAAGTTCTTCTAATGCTTCAGTTTCTTTTTGCTCATCCATCAACACTGGTCATACATGAGAAAGGTTGGAAAATAGTAGAAATGGAAGAAACTGAATTTACTTCGAGAAAATGTTTTCACTTTTAATTAATAGATCTTGAAATACGAAAGCAAGGACAGTAGATAAATTGCCCCTTTGGAATTTAGATTCTATAAACTTGATAATTTGCATGCTAATATTCAAACTTGTTAAGTAGTAATCTAACTGCAGATAATTAAATTGAATGTGGTTAATTAGTAAACTCAAATGGCAGATAGGAGAGTCAGCTATAGAAAAAGCACCTGCTGCTCTGTATCTATATGGATAGGATCTTAAAGGATCAAGTTGAGTTGCAACATCAAGATCAACTTTTGCCATCTCACGGTCACAGTATTCTGATCTTTTCTCATATGCTGAGGCATTGCTCTCTGCCTTCTCAATTAGCCTGGTCATCTCATCATATGCAGCTTTTCTTTGATTTTTCTGATGATAAACTCGTGCTAGACCTTGATGAGCTCTTGTGTGCCTAATTGCCAGTGCATTCTTGTAGCATTCTTTTGCAAGCTCAAGCTTACCACAATCCACATAAATACTCCCCAAGTTATTCAATGCCTGCAAAATATTCCACAAGACAATCAAATAACCGCACAACACTCACGTCACTCGCAATACAGATAGTACTAGTATAAGAGATCACTGACTTGTCCTTTGCGAAGACCGTCTGAAGGACATTTAAGTGCTTCTTTTAGAAGCTGAATGACGTAGGAAGAAGATTCAGGATCCAGAGTTGTATCTGCCAACACATATGCTTTTAGAAAAAAAGCTTCAAATGATCTGTGAATTGCAATGGATCTGTCAGCTCTTGCCAAAGCTTCTTCACGATAGCCAGTGTCATACAGGATCCATCCTTCATAAATTAGGCTCTCTTGCATTGAGCTAGAGTGGTTTCTGGCCAACCGCAAGCTGCGCATTGCAGCCTTCTGACAGTTTAATCTGTGAATTTCATACATGTGAGCATTTATCGACATTGCAAAATTGAACTAATTTAACTACTGAACATACTACATTGTAACAAAATTATGGACATTTCACAATGTAATAAGCTAGTCATTGTCAAACATTCAGATCAGACTCAAGTACTGTAAGTATCCTTGACAATGTGACAATAAACAAAGAAAATTGAATGTTATAGAGAAGAGATATTTGTAGTTCAGTTATACACAAACTAACCTCAGTAAGAGTAGAGACTGACGAAACTCTAGAAGGCTCTTTCCAGGCTCATTCTCTAGCATCTGATGTATAATAGCCAAAGAACCGACATCATCTACACAAGACCATTGCTGATATAACTGCATCCAGCAATCGGCCTGACTCTTCTGCTGAACTCCACGGTTTAGAAGTTGGAGCAAGTATCCCCCTTTGATCTTCCCATGTGAAGTTATGTAATTTGGTTCAATGGTTAGCAATGCCCGAATATCTCTCATTGCACTTTCATAATTCTCAAGTGCCACATTTAACCAAGCTCTCAATTCTAGGCAATCAGGGGTGAGTTTAAATCGAATAAACTTATCTAGCTCTATAATCCCTTCCTTTATCTGCTTCTCCTCCACCTTTGCTAGGGCTCTATATTTATATGGAAATGAAAGGGACGGATCCAATTCAGTTGCAACATCTAAATCAAAACTCTTCTCCTTTCCCATGTTGTATAGTGCACGCTCCTGATACATCCACCCAGCTGGTTTATACTCAAATATGAGAGAACTAATTAACTTATAGGCTGAATATGGTTGACCCTGTTTGTACTTAGTTCTGGCCACACCAGCCAATGAATAAACATGACCCTCCTCAACTGCTACCTCAAAACAATGCTGAGCATCTTTGTATTCTTTCCTTTCAAGCAACACACACCCCAATTGGTGGAATGCTAGGGCTGTCTGCCATCTTTCTGTGGCACACTCCCCCATTCTCTCCAGCAACATCATTGTTGTTTTAGACACCATGTTTTCCTCCATAGCCACCTGGCTCAGGAAGTAGTACAATAAGAAAGAGGCACACCCCATATTGGCTAACCTTTCCTTTACCTCAGAGCTACAGAATATTTTTGCCACCTTTGGATTATACAAAGAATTTGGAAGCTCCCTGAGAAACACTTGTAAGCAAGCCACTACAAGAAAGGTGGCTCTCTCTTCCAATCCATACTCAATAAGAACCAACGCATCTTCAACATTCACAACAATTGAAGCCAGATGAGTATCGCAGGCAGAACTCATCTCCTCACAACAAAACCTATTGGCAAAGGACAGAAGCTCCAAAACAGTCATTGGGCAGAAGAGGTCCAATCTTTTGGTCCTGCTGTAAAACTCCACTGCCCTCATTCCCTTCGGACATATCCCATTTCCTGAAAAATCAATCTTGCTCATTTTGGACTCAGTAAAGCCACCATAGAGCATAGCATTAAAAGGGTCTGAAAGAGCAGCTATCCTATACCTGACACAACTGATTTCTTCCCTCCCAACACAAAACAGAACATCACTTTCCTCATCTGACTTACGCACACTCTCAGTGCAGGTTTCCTGATTTAACTCTTGTTGACACTGGCAGTGATCATTAACTGAACAAGGACGAAACCCAGGTTCTAAATTCTTCTTTGGACACTCTAGAACATAACCACCACAATCCATTGAACAAAGACCAACAAGCTCATCATCTCTCCTCTCAAACATCAACCATGCAGACAACACAACCTTGGAGAGCACATCCCCAGCATTTTGACATGCTGTCCTGAGACATCTTCTAAGAATTTTCTGATCACCAAGGCCGCGCAAGAGAGTACACTGTTCCACACACATTACTGCTTTGTTGGACTGTGAGCAACACTCCATGCGCTGATAGAACTCTGATAAGGTCTCCACAAGGTTTATGGGCTTAAAGTGAGGTTCTATGGTTGGTTCAATGGTGTCGGTGGAAGGGAGGTGAAGAGGGACAAGGTTTGCAAATTCTGAGGTTGGGTTGTTGTTTGTGCTGGATTTGGTTTTTGACCATGGTGGTATTATGTTTCGGTTCCTGTTAAGGTTGTTGTGAGATTTGGTTTTGCTGCTATTACCACCTATTGTTTCCGAGCCTTTCTTGCTATTGCCGCCGTTTGTTTCTGACGAAGAAGAACTGAGAGCATGTACTTGAATGCTCTTGAAACGTTCAGCGAGCTTGAGACCACGCATCTCTGATGAATTACATGTACTTTGGTTTCAACCCCTTTGGCTCAAGTACTGTGCTTTGAATAAACACAAACATGGGGTGTGAACTTTGAGTGAAGGACCTTCATTTCGTTATTATTTTGTAATTTTGTACTTGCAGACTTTCGGCAACAGAGAGAGAGAGAGAGAGGTGAGTTTGTAGGTTATAGGGGCTACAGAGTTTTAGGCTCCAAGAAGAAAAGGAACGGCATTTGTTGATGGTAGATGGGTGATGATGAAGAGCAATGACCTAAACTGAATTTGGCATCTCCTTTTTTGCTAAAATAAGTGGAATTTTCTGGCTTTGGATAATATGTGTTTTTAGAATCAGAATAGGACTAGACACATCAACACACACCGAATGAATGGCAAGGTTGGTGTGTTTGTGGTGTAAATAAACAAGTTAGCAATCAGTAGTTTAAGTTCTAGGTGTGATCAGGTGAAGCTGCTATGCTCAAACTAGTTCCATTAACTGACTCCACTAGTGACTTCACACAAACACACACAGAATCATACAATTACATATCCTTGAGAAGAACCAATCCAATTTGGGACACCAGCATGCCAATCTGGTCAACTGGTTCCATGATCATTTCTCCTTTTCTTTTCTTTTCTTTTTGTTGTATTAAAAAAGTAAGACACAGAGTCACACGTTATTTAATTATTTCCACCACAAAAGTGAATCCTACCGTAATGATGGACGAATTTCTTCTTTATTACCTACGCACCTTTACCTTAATTACTTATTATTATTCAAATATTCGGATTGAGATGGAATTGCATGCCAAGCAAAGTGCATAATAAGGTGGAGTGAGTTGTGTAACCAATCCAATTATTATTTTTATGTTAGGTGGTCTAATCAACACCAAACATGTATTCACATTTTAAAATCCCTTCACCCCTCTCAAAACATAATAATAATAATAATAGAAAAAAAATTGAAATTTCACATTTTAAATAACTACACATAGTCTAATATGATGACGATAATCACTATGAATTGTTTCCTTTATATTGGTTGAATGTCCAATTCATGTGTGGTTCTTTATTTGTTTTCTCTTGAGAAGGATATAAGGTGATTGAGGAACGACATTTCCTTTTGGGGCCTCAATATTCTATTATATATTCTTTGTACAACTTATGATCCAATTACAATGAATAGCATATAATATTATGTGTTGGAAATAATTAAAAAGCTCCACTACATCTCCATGGCACATGAATTTGGAGGATGTGATTGGCCACGTCTAAATAAATTAAGTGGTAAAAAACATCAAATCTGAATATAGAAGCCAATGATGCTATTCTTGGGGCACCTAATTATTGATGGGTCAGGAAAATGGTGTAGATTTAGAAACACCCTTTGTAAAAAAAATTATGTTTATTTAACTTTCAACAATCTTTATCAATAATTGGATATATAATATATATATATATATATATATATATATATATATATATATATATATATATATATATATATATATGATCCATGTACAAAAGAATAATATCTGCACGTCAACACAAGTAGGAGTATATTACTCATTTAAGAAAAAAAATGACAAGAAAAATGATCACAAACCACTACAATCACCATGTGACACAACTCAACCATGTTCCTCTCTAGTGCAGCCCCACAAGGATTACTTAAAAGTAAATTGTGGAAAATGACTCAATTGAATTTTATAATAATAGATTTACTAAAAATTCTGAAATCTATCTCACTGTCCTTCATGCATTTTGTTGAGTGATTCTTGAGCAAAAGTAAGCTTATATATTATATGTTAAGAAAAACTACATTAAAGAATAAACCGTTAATAAAAAAACAAAAAAAAAATGTATACCTCAGATCTATTCAGTGAAAAATATGATAATTTTATCTTGTTATAATTAAAAAAGTTTAGTTCATATTATAAAAAGAAAGAAAAGAAGAAAAAAAAAAAAGTTAATCTCATGAGAAACAATTCCTCAAATCTGGATAGTTGCTAATTCCTGTATTGCACGAAATTTTTTCTGGCACAGAACTCAAGTCTTTTTGTTTGCAGCATCTCTTGGTCAATGCTTCTTGAGAGTATCTTAGCTTTTGACACAACTTGGAAATTTCATGATTACGAAGATAAAGAGGCGTGGCATGCATCTAGTAATAACTTAAATTCAAACTTTATTGTAAACCAAGTTTCTCTTATTTTATTTCCATCTTAATTTTCTTCTTTTCATGTCTATTTTTCATCCATAACACCATTCATCCTATTTTTATATTTTTCAGTATGAAATGTACGTTTAACATTTTCCAAAAATGTTGCTGAAGCTAGCATATTGTCACGCCCTTGTTTCTCGAACTTGGTTGCGTGCGGCCTTAGCCTCTCGTGCGCCCTTCGCAATTAGCTAAGTCAGCCTCACCTCACTCGGGATCGTGCTCGGTGTGTGCAAGTGCTTTGGCTAGAGAAAGCGAGAAAAGAGAACTTGAAGGGAAATGCTTCTATTACTCAAACTCTATTACAAGTGAGCTCTCAAAGCTTGGATGATTTGCAAATGAGGGGGCCTCCTCTATTTATAGGCACCACCTCTTCTAAGGAAGTCTCTAGATCCTACAAGGGTCTTGGTCTTTCTAGACCCTTCCACACAAATCTTACTCTTTCTACACATGTCCTAGAGCCTTCTACACAACTCAAGATGATTCTTGCCCTTTCTACAAGTCTCTTCAAGGTTCTAGGATGTTCTTGTCCCTTCTACACATATCTACATAATTCTGGAGCCCTCTAGAAGCTTCCAGTCAAGTCTAGGCCTTTCTAAAGGCTTCCTTATACAAATAACTAGGCTTAGTGCGAAAATAAAGACGGGCAAGACTCATTCTTGCTCGTGTGCGTGCGAGGAGTGATGCGGGTCGTTACAATATGCTTAGGTGCAACTGAGAAAGTGTGCAGAGACAGGAACAGTAAATGCCAAATTTAAAGAGTGATAAATAACTAATAAATAGCCACTAACAAATTTACATCACTATAATTTTTGTTTGTTTTCTAAGAGTATCCAAACGTAATATATGTCTTGTCTTGTCTTACCAAGAAAATGAACACGTAGTACATGATCACGTGATGGTAAACAAGTGATGCATGATGTGAACCAGATTATAGTTATAGTTTCTTGGTTTCAGCATGAATGAACTTTCGATTCATTGATTTCATCACACCTTTGATGTGGTCGTGCTTGCTTGGGATATATTTCTTGGTTACTTTTTTTTTTTTTTTGGGAAAGTTTAATGGAAAACATATTTTATTTATCATTTAGTCTTTGTTTCTTTCAGTTATGTTGGTTTGATTTTTAAGTGAATACAATGATTTATCTTTTTTTAATTTCACTCACGTGATTATAAAACAATTTTTAAAAAACGTACATAATTAATTATATAGGACTTAATAATATATGAGTTATGCTTTTTGTAGAAGATTATTTAAATTTATAAAAGAAGGGAAGTCAATTTGGACTTTATAATAAAATACCTACTAAATTAATTATTTATAGTTTTTTTTTCATTTACTTTTACTTTTTTTTTCAATGATATCACTAATCTAAATAATCTTTATCTCTATTTTTTTTCTTTTTCACTCTCTCACTTTTCATTACTCCATCAAAACAAAGACTTATATTATATTTAGTAAAAGAAAAAACAAACATTTTAGTCTAAAAACTCATAAAAACGAAAATAGTAAAAATTAACATAATTTATAAAATAGATATCAGTAAATACGATACTACTGGTATTTGTTCATTTTATTTTGAAAATATTAAACCTTTAAAAAGAGAATCACCATTCAATATTCACACACGCACTTTCTTTTTTGCAGTGCTCATTTCGAAGCAAAATTAAAAACTGTGGTCCCATACTTTTTATTTATCTTTTGTTTTTCATTTTCATCCAACCAAATATAGTTCTTATTATTTTTCATCTGTTTTTTTTTTTTCCTTTTCTTTTCTCTACACTATTTCCCTTTTGCAGCAAAGATTTTCACAGTTAGATTATAATAATTGATGATCATAAAATTTGTTAATAAAAGAAGAGTTTTTTCTTTTATATATATAATTGGTTCTAGTTATATTTTCAGGAGAAGCCCCACATTTGCAAAGCATCTAAAATCTTGGAATCACCCCTGGCTTAAAATATAAATTGCTATGTACAAATTACTGATACTTCAAATTTAATTAAACTACATTTAAAACACAAGAAACTAAATGTGAAGATTGCAGTGGGATAAGAAAAAGACCTAATAATGGAAGAAGTGTGATTGAAATAATTGAAGTGGAGTGGTAAGGTAGAAATCAATGTCAAAGTAAATGCAAGTCAGGTGTGGAATCAAATAGTAGAACACTGTTGAGTTAACATGTCTTTGTGTCAACTTAAAACTCAATACTATTATTAGAAAGTTGCAACAAGTTTGCTTTTTTTCTTCTTTCTGCACAAAGGAAAACACAATTGATGCAGCAACATAATTAAAAAAAAAAAACATAAATAGACAAGCAATGATAGGAGCATGAAAAAAAAAAGGTCACTGTCTGATACAAAATAATTTTTTTGTTGTAGCACCACCTTGCTGAAGAAGATCAAAGTCGCCATGACTTTCTTTCCAAAGCAATGCTTCAATTTCAAGAACACCAACAAGAGTTTCTTTAACCTCAAACCAATAAGCTTGGTCAGTTTGGAAATAGCAATCAATGTGATAGTTCTTGTCATCAAAATTGCATTATTTGACCTTTTATTTTTATTTTAAATGATTTCAATAGCGGGGAATTTTTCAAAAAGATCATATTAAAAGAAAGGATACAAATGATGTTGGATGTGTTTTAGAAAGTAAAAATGAAAATTTGAACAAAAATTAAACACACACTATGTCTCAGAAACAGGATTAAAATAAACTTTGCTTTCTCTAATGAAACGTAATCAGGATTAATTAAAATTACTTTAAAAAGAATTTCCTAAAAAAATGTATAAGGTTCCTTCAAATTTAATTGGACAATTGGAGAAAATGATGTGTCAAACCTTCATCTTGCTTGAAAAGCAACATTAAAAGAGAACAAGACAAGAGACAACTCACTTGTAACAAAAACTAAAATGGAAAAACTATTTAAAATATTTGTTTTTCATTTTTAATGAATTGAAATTTCAACGTTCTTGAAATTTAATTAAACTAAAAATACAGCCTGTCACCCTTATATTGATTAGATTTTGGACAAAAACAAAAGGGAAAAAAGACAAGAAAAACATATTTTTGCTACGAATCTAATAGTGATAGACAATGAAATTTTTTTTCTTATGTATCCAACAACTAGTTTATAAAAAAAAATTGAAAATTGATTGAGAAGAAGCAATGATGTGCAATAAGAGTAGATGAGGTGGGAGTGAGGAAGTTCCTAGAGTGGGGGAGAAGGCGAGGGAGAGAAGAGAATGGGAAGGGAGAGTGAGCAGAAAGAAATGAGAATAGAGAAAAGTGTGGTGAGAATAAATACCCATCCTCACAAAGCCCAAAGCCTGTTATTACACAAACATACATACATACATGACTCTTGCTTCCTACACCTCCATAATTTCTTACTGCATCTTCTACCTTAAATTAAATATCTAAAATATCCATCCTATAATTTGGTTTTTACCCTAACTTCTTCTTCTATTTTTGTATAACTTCTACACTTTCATCCTTTAACACCTCCACTGACTATTTGATTTTTGTTTTTTATTATTACCTCAATTAAAAACTTTTTCTAATAATTAAAGGTAAATAATTGTTAATATTATGTATGAATTAAATATTCATGTACTTAAATTGTACAAACATACCCAAATTATTCAATATAAAACAGTATTACAAAAATGAGGTTAAATTCTGGAAAAGTCAATTCGAAAATGCATTCTGAATTGAATATTCTGGAATGTATTTCTAAAAAAACTAATCTAGAAATGTATTTTGAAACACTAAATCCGGAATGAATTTTCAAAACACCAAATCCAAAATATATTTACAGATCACTAAATCTAAAATGCATTTCCGAATTAACCTTTCACATAATATATTTTGGAACATCTAATCTGAATATATTTTCAAATTATTTTTTCTAGAAACACATTCCAATCAATGTTCCAAAACGTATTTGCAGAAATATATTTTTAAATTGAATGTTTTAAAATGAATTTCTAAAAAAGTCATTTTAGATTAAGTGTTCCATGATGCATTTACAAAAAAGGTAATACAGCCCAAAGCTTATGATCCAATGAGAATCTTCTAAAAGAAAATTCATTTTTAAGTTTTTATTTCTTAACAAATGACTCATAGACAATCACAGTTAAATATTAATAAACTTTGAAATCGAAAAACATTTTAATAAATTATACATATGAAACATTGATATTTCAATCTCTCTTTATTTATCTGTCTCATACATATCCTATAATGATAATTTAGGATATTTCACCCAACATATTCATCAAGTGTCTAAACTTACTAAGTGCCAATATTCTATTTTTGGATACTCCATGATACTCGTTGTTCAAGGGTCTAGTAATTTACAGTATTTATATCCAATTAAATTATTATATAGAAACATATATACATTATCGCTTGCTTATTATATATTCAAAAAATAAACATTATCTCTTCCTAAACTCACAAAAGGTTGTCCTCTTTATGAATTATTTTAAAAATGAAATTCATAATATTATTATTCCTATACATAATAGTAGAAAATAATTTATGATAAAAATGATTTATAATAATATAAGAAATATGATTTTAATTAGATTTCTACAATCACAATTATATATTTATTATATCATGTATATATGTTCTTGCTTATTTTTAGAACATGAGGACAGGTATAGTATCGAATAAACATTTTGCATTAGCTTCATAGCACCTCACTCCGTAAAATCAAAACCAACTTTGGACAATGCACTACACATTCATCAATGGCCCAAGTTTTTTAACATCATTAACACCTATATATTTATTTCATAGCATCATAGTACACAACATTTATTTATATATATATACGAGAATATTTATATGCACCCTGATTTTATTAAAGTTAATACTCTGAAAAAAATTTATTTTATTCCCAAATCATATATATGAATTCGCTTATCCCTGTCCTATATAAATATGTATTAAATAAAAGTGTATAAATACACGCATGACTTAAAAAATAAATTACTCCCTCTAACTCACACCTTAGATCTGCCACTGCTTGCGACAAATGTTCTATAAAATTTGTGAGTCTTACTCCTTATTTAATAAACTTCTCCCATAATTTATTGGATTTCAATAAAATTTAATCAATAAAAACAATTGTTAAAAGGAATGTGTTGTAGAATATATATATATTACTAGTAATTCTATCCACAATATTATGACATCATTCACCGAATACACAGGTAATTCATTCCACAGAAGATACTGATCATCATATAGGGTACAACATTGCTCTTCTACTGCTAGTATTGGTCCATTCCATTTGACATTAAAATTAAAACTATACAAAATTATACACGTAAGCAAGCACCAAGAAAACCAGTGCTCGAGGTATACAAGTATGGCTCCAAAACAAAAGGTTGGCAAAGTAGAAGTTCATTTTCTATCTAATGATATGGAATGCGATGGAACACAATAGAGTGAAATGAATAGATGGTTCCATTCCATCCTATCTTGATGAAAATGAATGGAACCAAGCATCATCCCATTTCATTTCACACTATTTTGTTCCTCTCTATCAATCCATATGTAGTCTTAGAGCATTTTCACAACCCAAAGCTTATATTTTCTTATATACAAATGTACAAGACAAGGTCCTATAAGGTTTGCATCAGAGAGGGACTTACAGAGCCTGATATAAGTGTCTAAATTCCCATATTGTTGGATCCTTTTCCTCAAACCTTGTAACACAGCAGCCCTATCCAAGTACTCTGGATAGAATCCCAGTTCAAGCATTTTCATGACCGTCTCCGCCGCATCGGTGAAATGCCCGCCTTTAATATAGCCTCTTAACAACCAAGCCAGACTTTTCTTCTTCTGCGGCGAGCTTGTAAGCTCCAACCGGGTCAGCAGTCTTGCTGTGGCATTGGCCTCCTTCTGTGAAGCACAAATGGCAAGAACAATGTCATAGAGATCTCCATCAGCTTCCTTACCCACAAGCTTCATCTCCCAAAGCTGCCTCTCGGCCTCAATTCCATGACCGGCACAAATGTACATTGCAAGAAGCCTCTCGTGTACAACTCCATGAAGTGATGGATTGCCATCTTGTATCACCCAATTGGACAACCGCACTCCATCTGCCAGTAGGTTGGATTGATACTTCTCGGTAAGCTCAACATCTTCTCGATCTAACTCGGCCACCAACCCAGCCCTTGTGAAGCTTTTCAACTTGCGTAGAGTTTTGCAAAATTCATTCAGTTCTTTAACCACAGCAGTCATTGCAACAAGGTAACTGTAGGCCTCTGGCTTCAAGCCAGATTCTCTAAAACGAATTACTAATCTAACTGCGCTTCTATAGTCACCCTCAGCCTGCAAAAGAAAATATTCGTAATTAACTCTTATGACAATAGTCCTGAAATGACACTGCAACAAGTATCCAACAAGAGTCATAAACAGTGGGGCAAGAAAAGAAATTTCCTAATTTGCCCCAAGAGAAAAAAAAAAAAAAGCATAAATAGGATACAATACATCATAGGCTTATGATACTAAAAGAAAAACCAACTACGAGTCACCCAAAGCTCTTGCCGCAAATATGACTTAGAAAATAGAATTTGGCATTACATTTGACTAAATGAACATCAACAACCCAAAACAAACTATTCTAGTTTACTAAGATACTTTCGATAATAACCCCAAAACACCAATTCTATGTTTGTATGTGGGAAAGAAAAAGGAAAGTAAATCATAAATTTTCAATTTCCATTCCACTCATCATTGATATTCAAAATAGAAAAACCAGAATTGGGAGGAGACACATTCCCCTTCCTTCAATGAACAACTTAATTATACCACCAGCAACAATGTCATCAATTGACTAAATGCAGAGCAATATCAGACAAGACAACCAACACAAAACCGAGTGATGTAAACTGGAAAATGAGAATAACAGTCTTTAATTAATACAGCATCTAAATCAAGGGAACCAAATGATAAAAAAAACCCCACAATGACTCGTTCAACTAAGACTTTGCTCAATACTCATTTCAATGTTTCTAAAAAGAGCTAACTAACTCTCCAACTAAGTAAAAACGCTAGACATCAAATATCAAATGCTTACCATCATCTTCCAAGCAAGATACCCCGTTGGCCCTCCTTTATGCCCTTCTTTGTCCTCCCCAGCATAAGGGATTCCGCGCCTCAAAACCTCTTCCACAAGCAAGATAGCCCCTTCCTTCTCCCCCATTTCCCAATACAAGGAAATCACCTTCTCAATCATGCTAAAACCCGGCCTCAAACCGACACAATCCATGTCTACAAGCAAGTCAACCACATCACCCACACCATGGTGCTCCTGAATCAACTTCTTCACCCAACCACACATGATGGAAACCATGAGCTCCATGGTCTCCTTGTCCACCCTATTCTCCTTCCTCAACCAATCAAACACCTCCAAAGCACACCATGAGTCCCTCCCATCCTGAGAGAAATACACCAACACAAGCTGTAGTTCCCTTGCAGACAAACGGTCATTCATCTCCTCAAGAATATCAGAGGGCTCCCTTGTCATCCTCTCAAGCTCCTCAATAGCCTCAAAGAACCCATCACCCATTTCACCCTCCTCATCATCACTCGTCACAAACTGGTCCAGTTCCACAGATTTCAGAGCCCTAAAACCCCTCATTGAACCGTGTTTTGCAGCAACAATGGAGGGGCTTTGGAACTTAAAGGGTCTGGCACAAACCCCGTCATAGAATTTGAGAGAAAATCCAGAGTGTGATGCAGGAAACATCAAAGGGAGTCTCTGTTGTGACGGCGAACCACAAGAAAACACAAAACCCAATATGAAATTTGGACCAAAACATTGTGCATAGGCCATTCTTTTTCTTTTCGCTCCCTCTCCCTCTATACTTCAGTAAATTCAATTCAGTGGTACAGAGAATTGCCCATGAACAACCAAAACAAAAAATAATGGGAAAATGGAAAAGATTGAAATTTTGTTTCTGGGTTCAGTGAATTCTCGATTGAAATTTAAGCCCCAGAAACATAAAAAGGAAAAAAAAAAAATAAAGGAAAAGAGAGAGAGAATAAAAAACCTGATTATCCTACAATTTTCTCGGCATCCAAACAAGATGGTGCTCAAACTTAATCCATCCAACTAAGACGAAAGAAAGTGACTTGGGGGCAGAGAGATAACTGAAGGGCCATAATTATTGGCATAAAAATTCAACGAAAGAGATTGAGTAAATAAAATTTGAAAAAAAAAAAAAAAAAAAAGAGGTCGCAAGTGTCTTTTGGCATTGAAACAAAGACAGAGACAGTAGAAGTTACAATTGCAATTTGCTTTGGTTGCTGCTAACTTGCTAAGGTCGGAGAGGGTTTATAGGGTGAGAAAACGTGTACCAACCGCTACTACACAGTTCTCTCTCACCGTTCACTCTAAAAAACGTGGTTATCAAATCTATAAAAAATAAATAAATAAAATATTTTGTTATTTGGTTTACATTATTATATTAATTCAATCTCAATAATAATGTGTAATTAAATATATCAAAAAGAACGTGTGATTAAAAAATTAAAGTTAGTTGTACAATTATTGATCCAAAGAAATGCAGGAAATTGATAAATGTAGCACATTTGGAAAGGGGGATGCCGTTAGTTACAAACATATCATGTAGTACCTATCTTTAAAACCTCAATCATTAATACTATTTAATTAATCAAATTGTTATCATTATTGGTATCCTTTCAATTGTAGGACAAACACATTTAACTAAAATTAGATCAATGAGAAGAACACTAGCACTTTCACTAGCACTTTGAATAAGAATGCTTTCAACTAAGGACATTTATGAAAGAAAAAAAAAAGTTATATTTAAGGAAGAATACCAAAAATGGAGTCAGCAAGGTTGTTTATTTTAGAAAAAAATAATTTCAATTTCAGATTAAATTTTGATCATGTATAGAAAATGTTAAAACTTTGATATTAATTCTGAATTAAATCAGTCGCATAAACTTATTGACTGTAAACATTTTACCAAAATTTTGTTTAAAGAAAGAGAAATAAATGAGTAGGAGATCATAAAATGATTGAATTTCTTCTTAAAAAATAATTTCGGAATAAAGATAAGTAGTATTTTTCGAAATTCTCAGGAAATCGTATAGTTAGACAAAATTATCATAGTCAACTAAAAATTATATGAAATAGAAGTTTAAAATATATTATTATTAATATTAAGGTGATTTTATTATGATATTAAAAATATAATAATAGATTCTATTATTATATTATTATAATGAGTTTCGTTGTTTTTTAGATGTGATTGTAAAATTATAATTAGTGCTATTATTATTATTATTATTATTAATAAGTCTCACAGCAGCTTATCTCATATTATTTGATATGGTTTAAATACATGTTAGGTTATCGTATTACCAATTCATGTTAGAACCTTAACATGTATTAGAATTAAAGTCTAACATTTTTTCGATTATTATCATGGTTAAAGGACATTGTTAGAACCTTAACATGTATTAGAATTAAAGTCTAACATCTTTTCGATTATTATCATGGTTAAAAATTGTCCTTTAGTTGAGTCAAGCCAATTAGTTTTATGTTTTAACCTTAACAATAATAATAATAATAATAATAATTATTATTATTATTATTATTATTATTTAGCATCATTTGTCAGAACCTTTTTGACTTTGCTTATTCAACTACAAACTTGTATTCCTGCAAAGAAAACGTCATTATAAAACCCACTCTAATTACCACCTCTTTAAAAAAAGTAAGCCCAAAGTAACATTAAAATAAACTAAAAGAAACGAGCCTGCAATGTGAGTCGATTTGGGCTTTGTTATTCGCACCTCCTTTTTTTGTTTCTCTTTTTACTTAAAAGTTTTGGTTTGATTTTTATTAATTTCTTATTTTACACCTTTATTTTTGTTCTCTCTTCTAATTCATTTCTCTTTCCACTCCATTTTCTTTTACCTCGCCAAATTTGAATTTAAATTTATTTAAAACTTAACTCAAAGGAACATAATCAAAGAAAAAAATCAAATAATTAAATCTAAAATACTAAAAAAAAAACGTATATTTGACAATTATAATTTATATTTAATTAGAATAAAAATAAAATGACAAATATTTGAGGATAACCTTTTTTTAACTATTTATTTCAGACTTATTTGAATCGTTAAAAAGTTTTACAGTTTGACGAGTTGAATCCTATTTTTGAAACTCATGTTTGATTTCATATTGATTGCATCAAGAAATATCTTGTGCATTTAGAAATACTCATGTATTAGAATAAAATTGAGTTTGTTATTTCATTCAAAGTGGTACATTATATTTTTCAAAGATGTCTAATGTACTCATTCTATCCCAAATTCACAAGATCAATTATGATTAGTGTTGTATTCATAGGAATGCATGTGTCTAATTTCAATATGCATGACATGATAGATGGAAGAACAATGATGTGAAGAAGTAGTAGATGAAGGAGTTTCGAATCAAACCTGGAAGAGAACACTTTGCTAAAGAAACAAAATGGGTCCCAATTCTTCATCATTATTTAATAGTTGATGAAATTTTTTAGAGGGTATAAGGTGAAGTAAGGGTAGAAGGAATTATTTAAGTAGAGTAAGTTAAATTTCATGTTAGAAATATTTTCATTTTTATTATATAAAATTTAGAATTTCTTGTAAATATGATAATAATAAAAATATTAAAAGCAACGGCATGTCTAAAAAAGAAAAACAGAAAGTGAAAATAAATTTCAGAAAATTAATGGTTAATTTTTCATGCTTTAAAATATTAATTACATGGTTAGATAGAATTTAGGATATTTTTTTTGTTTAAATTTATCAAAATATGAATTTTTCTATAAACTCTTTAGACTGTCGAGGGAGGAATAGAATAGAACGCTAGTATTAATGTAGACATAAAAAAATAGAAAATTAATTAATGACGGATATATTTAAATAAAATGATTATTTTAATTATTTAAAAAAATTAAATATGAAACACATGTATATGAAATGAGAAGGTTTGGTGAGATCCAAATAATTTTTCTCAATTAAAGAAGTCAAAGTGTGTAAAAAGTTAAAACTAAGTTGTGTATATCAAATCTGACAAATTATGGGAATTTTGAAAGAGAGAAATTTTATTTTAAAAACATTTTTTTACAACTTTTATTTTAACTACACATCTTAATATATTATTATTATTTTATTTTTTTTAGTTGTTAGATTGAGTGAAGGGGATCACCCCTCTTTGACAGATTACGAAAGTGGTGGTTTTTGTTGTTACTCGGAGGGTGGGATTAATTTTGAAAATTTGTTATTTATCCATTTGTTGTTATTCAAAGATTCTTACTTCTTACATTCCATAATTTCTTTTTCCTTTATCTCAAAATTATATTAAATCTCATCTTATTCTTATACTTATACTAGTATATACTTGACATTTTTTGAAATACTCAATCCAAAATACATTTTCGAAAGATTTTTCAAAAAATATATGTTGGAACACTCAATCCAAAATACATTTTCACAAAAACTTTTCTGAATGGAAATACATTACAGAACACCCAATTCGAAATGTGTTTTCGAAAAGGTTTTTCGAAAACACGTTCTAAAACACCTAATTCAGAATACATTTTTTGCAACGCATTTCAGAACACTCAATTTGGAATGTGGTCTGGAAAGTTTTTTCCAAAAGCATATTTCAGACTAATTCTGGAATGCGTTTCAAAAACAATCAATCTAGAATACATTTTTGAATTGGTCTTTTCGAAAATATATTCAAGAACGCTCAATCCGTAATATATTTTGAATTGATTTTTCTAGAATTCAACCTCATTTTCGCGATATTGTTTCAGATTGAACAATTTGAATCTTTTTATGTAATTTGAATACATGAACATGTAATTCATACATAATATTAACAATTACTTGCCTTTAATGGTTAGAAAAAGCCTTAAACGGAGGTGATAACACAAAAAATAAAATAGACAAATGATGGAAGTACTAAGGAACGAAGGTACAGAAAAGTTGTACATATATAGAATAAAAAGAAGTTAAGATAAAATAAAATAAAATTTATGGGAATGATATTTTTGATATTTGACTTAGGTACATAGGTCTAGGAAGAAATTATGGGAGTACACGAAGCAAGGGTCAGAATCTAATGGTCTAACCTAACCTATATTTTAAAAGAGATAAATTTTTTTTCTAACTTGACCTTATGTTTAGTCAACGGGTTAATGAGTTATTTTTTATCTAGTTAAAAATATTATTTTTATTTATATAATTTTTTAATTTTTTTTGAAAAAATAATATGTCATTCATCTATTTATTTTAAAATTAACTCATAATCTATTTAAACACAAAAAAAAATTATAAGATATCATAGTTCAAAATTTTATCTATAAAATCATAAAAATGAGTTGTTAAGCTTGAGGTAATTGTCTATAAATTATACATCGAAGTCAAACACATCCTCTAGAAATATTAGATAACATATATGTTTTTATTATTAAATACACATTATAAACCTATGTTCTAATTAAAATATTTATAGTAATTGATTTAAAATCATTATTCAAAACTTTATTTTATCCTCCAAACTCCCTCAGTACTCAATATAGTTAAATTAAATATCATGTTTAATAATGCATATTTATAAATTTTAGAGTCAATTTTTCATTGTTTCAACAAAGTAATTTTATTATCCAATATAACTCTCACATCATCATATTTTAAAAATACACTACATATAAAAATACATCATTTTAAATTATTGGTCCTTAAAAATAAATGTGACAACAACAAATAGGAAAACTATTTAGAGTTTATTATTCTTTCTAAATTATA